CATGGTTAAACTCTTGTGTCTCTGATTGGCAGATTGGACTCGATGATTCTTGTTGCCACGGAGACGGCTTCCCCTCTCCTGGAACACTAACGTCCGGAATCAATTACGCCGTACGTAATCAATACCGCCGTACGTAATCAATATGCTCGTAACGTAATCAATACGCCGTACCGTAATCAATACGCGTACGTAATCAATTACGCCGTACGTAATCGCCTCTCAGCAAATCAAACACACCTGAACTCCTTGACACCTGTCACCACTGAAGCTTGTCAATCACAGGCGATCAGATGTCGGGCGGCTTCCATGGCTGAAGTCCCGCCTCTACGGCTCCGAACGGATGACCCCTCCGACTTCCCACAATGCACTGCTGGCTTGGACACCGGGGACAGCTGGAGCGTCTCTGCAATCAACAGAGAGGTACACACACACCACACACACACACGCACACACACATACACGCACACACACACACACACCACACACACACACACATCGCACACACACACACACAGTGTCTTCGTTATTGCTGGGATCATGATTACGATTGGACGGTTATTGATTGACACACTGTTCATCCAGTTGAAGCCCTGTTGGCGATGGCTCGCTCCAGCGTGGTGCCAGGGGGCGGAGCCAACCCGGAGTCCGCCCTCCACGTCCTGTCAGAGTGCAGAGGAGACTTCCTGGTGAGATCTCATTGGCTGTTCGTCCTGTGTGCCGTTCACATTCAGATTTATAACTCCAGCTACAGCGCGGGTTGCTAGACTCTGTCGGTTTCAGTTTTGGTCTCTGGTACCAAACCTGAGAACCAGAAGCTTCATATTGTCACATCATCGAGTGTCGTTCGTGAAGAAACTCCCCCAATAACCACAAACTGTGGTTTTTACACTGACATGTGTTCTCAGATAAAGTTCCTCCACGCTAAACTCAGAAAATTTATACATAGCAAGTACATAAAAGTAGCGCTAAAGAAAGAAATAAAAGTTAAAGTAACAGTTATATTCAATATGTATTATAATTTACTTTTTCCTAAGTCGCGCCCATTTTCAAACCGCGGCCACCTTCCTTCCTGTACCCTGATACGTGCATTTTAAGTTGGTTAAAAGATAAAAGAGACGTAAATTAAACTGTTAGCTTCCTGTTTGCGTCAGTTTTCCCACCAAATGACTGAATCTGTGTTTGTCTCCCAGCTGACGGTGGAGAAGCTGCTGTTGACTCCTGAAACCTCAAACAACAACAACCACACACCTCATCCAAGTAAATAACAGCAACATGAATGTTTCATACAGTTTTTATACTTTACTAGAGAGGACATGTTTACTCCTACAGCTTTGTATTTTATATTTCAGCAGCTTATTGGCTGATATGGACGATGTTGGAGTGGGTTTGGGGTTATTGAAGATGCTGAAACCATTTCTGATCACTTCAAGATAGAAAATGTCTTTTTATACCAGAAGTGGCCATATTTCAACTAATTTTGAGGTTATTGATGTGATTATTTTGACATTTTGGAATAGAGACAGTTGAATGTCAGTGGTGCAAATGTTTAGACACAATATTTCTTTAAATCTCTTCAGCTCTAATCATATAAATAAACTCAGCTTGCTGACCAACTTAACAGCTAAATATGGCCAAACTGGACTCAAAATTATTCAGAATCAGCCCACCGGGAGTTTAAATATGGCCGCTTCTGCTTTAAATGGCTATTTGAAAATGTCATAAATGGATTCAGCATCCTTAAAAAACCCCAAAAACCACACAAAGTTAGAATCTGTCAGTTCCTAAATGCTGGAGACTCAAACTGAACATTTCTAACATAAAACTAACTCAACATGTCTGGGTTCACAGTGGAGATCTCATTGTTTGGACCCTTTAAAGCCTCTAAAAGGAGCTTTAATTTCCTGTTGATTCTGGCGGCAGACATTAAGAATAACTACACAGACAAAGTCAATCTTCTCTCTGACTCCTTGTAGTACGTTTAAATGAAGGATCTGAGTACGTTTTCCACCACTGGTATCACAAACAGACACAAATTGGAGTCACTAATGTACCTCACGTTGAATGTGTGCAGCCGGTGTCAGCTGGAGTTCAGCGGAGAGGAGGTCGCTGGTTAAATCCCTGCAGCTTCATCACAAAGACTTCAGCCAGGTCCAGAAAGCGGTGAGTCTCTGCGCCTGATAAAACAACGGCTCAGTCCGTTACACTTCGTGCTAACGTGTTATTATCGTGTGTTCAGGTTCAGACCAAGACCGTCTCTCAGTGTGTGGAGTTTTATTATCTGTGGAAGAAGAAGCTGAGTCTGAGGACCCCGGCCGCACTGACCGTCACTCTGCCCGCTTCAAATGTAAGAAACCTGACTTTTTATTGCAACTATTTTTAACATAAGTGGGGCTCAACACATATCCCAGAATTAAGAAGTTATTGTTGGACTGTTATTAGTTAATTATTGTTGAATATTAGTTATATTTTGTCTTAATTGGAATCTGTGAAAAGTAACTTAAGCTGGTTGAATAAATGTAGTGCAGTAAAAAGTCCAACATTTCCACCTTAAGTGTGGTGGAGTTGAAATACAAAGTAGCATAAAAATAGAAATACTTCCGTAAAATTGCTCTCAAAGTGAATAGTTCAAACGTCCAAATTCAAACATGGCGTTCTGACTGTGACCATAATGACTCGGCACTTTTTTATTTCTGCAAGTGAAAAACCTCAGTAGGAATATTCAGAGTGGTTCGGTAGTTTCATAAAATGTGATTTCTCCTTTATTGACCTGTATTTCTGAAACGTTTAATGTGTCGACACGAGGAAATAGGACAGTGGCGTAGTCCGCCATGTTGGCCTGCAGCTACCAGCGCGCTGACATTTAATCTCTCGTTTTTCAAGATACAAACACTCTTGAAACAGGTTGATTCAGCTGAAACATTTCAATATTTAACTGATTATTTAACTCTTTTAAAGGAACTATTGAATTTAACTACAGCTTGACTTTACTTTCAGTGCTGCTCGGTTGTTAACAGAGACTTTAAGAGAGTCGGTTAGTTCGATGTTTCAGGTCAGTCACTGTAAATGAAACTAAAGGCTGAATGAATAAAAACCACCGATACCAGATTCCTGTTATCTCTCCGCACACACACACACACACACACACACACCAAAGCACAAAATACACACCGAAACACACCCACACAACACACACTTCCTGTCAGAGACGTCAGGTTTCAGAACAAACTGTGACTTGACATTTCAAATAGTGTGTGTGTGCCTGTGTGTGTGTGTGTGGTCAGACCTCAGTGAGTCAACTTGAATTTTCCGTGGTGCTGTTTTGGATTCGATCAAACGTTTCTTTGAGCTTTATTTTGTAAGTAATTTAGATTTCCATCAGTTTGATCACTTCCTGTTTAGTTTTGGATTCTGTCAGATTAAATAAAACTGTTGACTCATTAAGAGACTTTCCAGACGTTTCTGTTCCTCGTTGCTCTTCTTCTGTTTTCAATCACAGACACAAAGTATAAGTTAGTGTTAACCAGTATGAGATATATCTATATATATTGATCAATCATTAGCTATCGATATCAAGTTTACGATGTCGTGTTCGGTGATAAAAACTACTCACTCTTCTGTTTCTCCAGGGTCAAAGGTCATCAAAGACCAAATGATGCATGAATCGCCGGACTGTCACCTGCTGGAGCTACACACTACTAACCAACACACACACACAC